TCTTGCACTGGGATGGCTTTGGGGAAGTTAGAGTATTTACAGACTCAAAATGTAATTTAAGACGTTATGTCAGGAAAGGCTGTAGTCCTGTGGCCTTGTGAGAAGTACATGATGGGAGCTGTATGCTGCATCTTCAGCTTGGGAACTGCCCTTTACTCTGAATGGGATTTGGTCCTTGGCCATTAATGCAGTACAGGGAAATAAGGATAAAGGGAGAGGCTGCTTATGCTGACATGAAAGCAACTCCCTCCATGTTCCCTTTTTTATATGAGCTGTCCCTTCTGCTGCTGCTGCCAAGCTCGTAACTTCAAAGTCCTTTTTGTCCTTGTAAACCATAATTCTGGGTCGTGGTCTCCATTTGCTGTCTTTGTAGCTGCTCCTTTGCTACTGTTTGTTTTGTTCTTTTATATATATATATATAATATATATATATATATATTTTTATTTTTTTTCTCCCCAAACATACTTTTATTCTTAGTGGGTTTGTAATCTATTTGTAGCTTTTTGGCTGTTCATTTTTTATGTATTTATTATGATTTCTCTATAAGATTTTTGCATCACAAGATGTATAGTTCGTTCCCTAAGAGATTCTTCTGCACATATGAAAGATTTTCCAATTCCATCTTAATATTTTCATTTTTGTTTGTTCAGCTTGTTACTTCATTTTACTTCCCTACATTCCCATGTTAATTTAGTTGTGTCTCTTTAAGAATTCATTCAGGAGGTGGGTTTGTACAAGATATCACAGCTTTAATGCATGGACTCCTGCTTAGGTATTTTCCTATTTCGTCTGAAGACACTAATCTTCCTTTACAATAAAACAACTTAATAAGCTGCAGAAAATTGATAAGGCAATTTAATTGCCAATGTTTATGTATTTTCTTACTATAGCTCAAATCCCGCCAAACGTGGCATGCAAGTGGTACCAGAAGTTCTCAAAGAACTAAAATAATGGGAGCAGATTAGCAAATACAGTGTAAAAAAAATGACATCTTTACAAAGTTTCTTTTATTTATTCAACTTTTATAAATATCACAGAGAATGATAACTTGTTTTATAAATTGAAGGAATAAAGTGAATACGCTAATGTGAAAAATATAAACAATTATATTGTCAGTCATTGTTTGAATTATTCATTTAAAACATCTTTTAAGAGTTTTCATTTCATCTGTAAAGCAAAGACACATTTTTATAAGGGTAAAACATTGTAAGCAATTATTGAGGTAGGCATCAAAGAACCCTTTTGATTATTTTAGAATATATATTTAAAACCACTACTTCTGATTTTATTGTCAACTGTTGGCATATTTGATGTTTTCTGTAAGGTTTCAAACCTGATGCAAACAAATTTATAAAAAGAGGACAACTTTTTATCTTTTGAAGGAAATGTATAGCTGTTGTGACTAGATCAGAAAAATACAAATGTAGCTAACAAGATGGTAAATACCAAGGTAATTAAAAACATATTTTAATGGGAACCAATTCCTAAAATTGAAAATATTGTGTAACTCCAGATCCACTACTACTTGCCAGATAGGACATCATTTTCAGCCCACGCTAATTTATATGCAGCTTTGTATCAGCACGTAGTCAGAATGTTTATGAAAAGTGTCCCCTACAAATGAACAGATCATTTTCTTTCTCCTAAAAAGCACATAATCATTCACGAAAGTAATTTTAAAGGTCTGTCTGTGAAAAAAAAAAAGAAAATGCAGCTTCTGTTGAGTGCCATGGAAAATCAGCTTTCCCTGGTCTAACTAAATTGTACAATACATCAATTATAATAATATTAAGAGCTGCGTATTTTTTTAAATAATAATAGTCATAACAGCATTTTAAGAGAAATGTACAATAGAAACATCCAAACCATTCTGAATTTTCTGAAATGGAAAGGTTTCCAAAAACAAGTTGGGGTGAATTTGAGGCAGATTTTTAGAGAAAGGAGTGAGAGAAGCGTTCAGCATTCAATGGGAAGTACAGGTAGGAAAAAATAATACTGTGCCTCAACACAAAAATAAATCTTATAATGAAATCAGAGCAAATTCAGTAGCTGTAATTCAGATCAGACACAGTTCCAGGTCTCTTCATTCCTTTGCTGTTAACAATTAAGAGGGTCAGGATTAAGAGACCCAATTAATAAAGATGAGCTCTCAAAAAAGAAACAAGATGTTTGTTACTGGTTTCAGTGGGATGAACATTTGTGAACTAATTTAATGTATACCAGTGAGGGCAATATAAAATATTTGCAAACCATCATAAAAATATTGTGTAAGTATTAGAATTGTTAAAATAGAAAATGATCATCACTGGTTCCCAGGTTTTGACTTGTATCTTTCATCCTTTCAGTTCAAAGTCAGGAATATTTGCACATTTGTTATTAAAAGGGAACTGAGTATTCTTTTTAAAATGTAGTGAAGTTGGTGAATTGAATTTTTTCACTTCCAATTATACAGGTTTGGATATAAAATGCTTCAAAGCATGCTGTTAATCTGTTATAGTCAAAATAATGGGTAATTGGAACTGAATGTCCTTTTTATCTGGCTGCATCTAGCTATCAAACAAATCCTCCTATTAATTGTTAAATCATAAGGACTTCAAGAGACATTCCTCAAGTTGGTGTTGGTGCTCTGATAACCTAATCTCCATTGGGCACTAGGACTGCACTGAACAGCATTGTCATTAGTCTTGTCAGCTCTGGTACCTAATTTTATTCTCTCGATTTAATGAAATACATTATATGTTTTTTTGAGAAAGTAACCTTTTCAAATGTAGCTTTACAGGTACGGTTTTAGAAGACAAAGATGTTTTGTAATAATAACGATTTTTCACTATTGGTTCCTCATTTTAGGAGTTATTTTCTGGTAATGCTTCAGTGGCACAAAAATGAGCAGAAGCGTGAGGTAACCTTATGTCTAAGGTTACATTTTGTGGGAGACATACTAAGGTTTTATGCTTTTGTGGGAGACAGACTGCGGCAAAATCCTGAATAATTTGGTCAGGCAAAACATCATCTGAGCAGAGGGAGTTTGGTTCAGGAGTTTGATCAACCAGAGCTACCTGTCATGCTAAATGCTGAAAGATATTACATGCCCCGAGTGTGCACACACGCATGGCAAATGGCCTCATCTCGTGCTGAACTGTAACCGTCTGTTTAACTTAAGTGACAGACTCCAGCTGCATGTATTACACTTCTGAGAGCTTCTGAAAACCATGTCGATTGCCTTTGGTGAGCATTGGGTCTCTGGGTAACCTGGCTTCCTGCACATGTGATGCACAAGGCTGGGCTCGGGAGCACTCTGCAGTAAGGCAGCTGAAGCAAGAGAGCATCTGCACCGTGGTACAGCCCAGATCTTCACTCACTTCTGTTGTTCTGAGGAAGCACATTTTCAAGAGTGAGAGCAAGGGCTGTCATGATACCAGCAGAAACACACAGTGAAGCCCATGAGCAGTTTTTCAGAGCCATTCTATCCATGCCTAGGCTGGCTCCCATCGCCTTTGTTCAGTTTAAAGGATCCTAATGTAGCATTGTACTAAGCAAGCAGTAGGCTGAAAGCTCTCACAGTGTGTATCAATAGCAAGCATTAATTTTCCATTGTTTGCTGATTTTAATTAAATTTGTTAGACTTCATGGCAGAGATATATAAGCTTACATACAGAAGTGAGAAAGATGCTTCAGATCTTCATCTAGGCTGGGCTTGCAGCTCTGAAACAAAGGCAAGGCAGGCAGCGGTGTTTTACTCCAGGTGATGGAGGAAGAGTAAGCAGATGTGTGCAAAGGAGATGATAATTAAATACACTGTGGTGTGTCAGGCACCATGGGAAAGACTGAATGACAGTATGTTGAAGAGAATGTTTAGGTACAATTCAGTGAGTGTACTTGGTAATTGGAACAAACGCTTCGTGAGCCTGCAATTGCATCATAGAATCATTAAGGTTGGAAAAGACTTTCAAGATCATCTAGTGCACTCATCACCCCTACTGCCAATGTCACCCACTAAACCATGCCCCTAAGCACCAGGTCCAACCTTTAATGATGCAATATTTTTCAAGATTTGCCTGCTGCATTTCCATACACGTGTAGCCTTCATGAGAAGCTTTCATCAAATTCTCCAAGACCATTTGCCTTAAAAGTCAGCCAGGATGCCTGAATTAATTTAGCTGAAGCCCTTTGAAGGCCTGCTTTATTAAGGGTTGTGATTTATTTATTTATTTATTTATGGCTGAGGTATTATTTAAATATATCGGAAAACAAAGGGATTCTGTCATTTAGAGAGTATCAGTCTCATGTCTACATGAAGTGCATTAGAGATCATAGCAAAGTGAGCACTTAAAAGATCATCAGCTTGACACTGTCAAGAAAATTATTTTGAATTTTTGCTTGAACTTGTCCCCCCAAGGGTCTCTTTGTGCCTGTACCTCTCTTTCATTTGTGAAACCTACAGCTGTGGTGCTTCACTTGTGTTGAAAACCATAAAAACACAAGAACAAAGAAAAAAAAAATAAATCAAAAACATTGAAAGAGAGTACAAAATAGCTGCTATTCTGTTCCCTAGGCTCTCTGCTTAAGAGCTCTATTCACTTAAAACATTTTCCAGCTTCTGAAACACTTGATTAAAGTCAATTGGGAAAAAGATAAGCTCTTAAAAGTGCTAATTTGTGACTCAGAAAACTTGAATAAGTCTAAATATGAAATTCTCTGTTGCTCTGTATTCATGATTGCGGGGCTTGTTTGGAGAACATTTTAACATTTTGTTGCACAGTCTCTATGCCTATTTCTTGTGTTGTGTATTTTTTAAGGCATTCATTAGTATAATATTGCAGCACAGCTATAAGCTCCCCCAATATCCTTTCAGTTTCTTGAGATTTTAGAAAGATCCTTCAGATCAGAAGTGTTGCTTTCCTTTTGTCTTTCTCTGGTCACACTAGCCTATATGCAGTCCTTGCTTGACCTCATGTACTAGACTGATATTCTTGTCTAATTAACATCCTCTTCTTCTTAGGCTGGGGACGTATGGATGAAATTCAAGAATAGAACCAGAACAGGTTGCACTGTGACTGATGTGTACAAAGAAGCAAGCTCTGCACTGAGAAGGCAAGAAAGCAGCAGGCCAAACACTAAAAGGTAAGTATTTGAAGCTGTGACACATCTAACTGCCTCTCCCAGAAGCATGTTCTATGATTCTGTGATTCACATTTGCAAGTATTGGAGCAGAGCAATATAATTTTAGTGAATATATCCTCTGTTCATAGCTTTTTCCAAACTAACATGGCTTATTTTCAGTGTCTTTAACCATTTCATGTGTCATAGCTAATATATTTTCATACTGAAGGCATCCTCTAATGTACTCTCTTCTATCCTACTTGGAAGATAATTAAATGTCTTCTAATCTAGTAATTCCTAACTCTTCTGTCCTCTCTTTTTGCAAAAACAAAATTATCACTGCATATCTTACAGCTAACCCTATGCCTTATCTTTCACACCTCCCTTCTCAAGTCAACCCCTTTTTCTCCTGGTGTACTTGTGAAAATCCTGATATTAACAGCAGTTACGTATTTGCCTTAAGAAGATAATTCAGTCTTTAAACTGACAGTTTCTAGTCTGCCCTGGGGCTGCTCACAGAGTCACATTGTATAATACGTAGACACTTGCACACAGTTGCTGCTGTCACACTGCAAAAGTTATGATTCACTGATCATCTTCTGCACATTACTTCACATTTCTCCAAAGCTCCTTGCTCCCACAGGTAGAAGAGATTTTCACACTTGTGTAGAGGGGCAACTTTTCTTCTGTTTCTTTCTGTTTGACTCATTGTGGGAGTAATGAATGCAGGCAGGCTGCACTAAAGAGTGAGCCAACAAGGTAAACTGGAGTAGGTTTTCAAGTACTCAAAAGCCTTTTCTGAATGTTGAATACTTAGTTGTTAGGCCTTAGGCCCCATCCTCCATTCATACATACATGTTCATCATGCATACATGTATGTCATATAAAATTAAGGGCTCTGTGTGTCCATATAGTTATGCTGGTCTTGAAAAGGGTTATTTTTTGTCTGGTTTAATTGCAATCTCAGTTATCAACTGTTGCTTTACTTTTGATGTTGTTTTTAGAACTGCCATAAGACTCGTGACATTTTAATTATTGACAAAGCATTTTGTTGATGATTGAGACTACCAAATTCATGAACTAAAAATTTTTCAGAGTCCCTAGATTTCCTAACAAACCAAACACAGTACAAACTACAATGTTACATTGTTAGGTTAAAGTAACTAGCTGCTGGACTTGTCATCTTCCTTTTAGTATTCCATATTTTTCTTTCTTTATATATATATAAAGGAATATATATGTGTATATATATATATATATATATGTAAATATATATATTACATAATATCATGTATGAAATGACATATGAATTCACTCAATGAACAAAAGAGCATAACTGTAAAAAGCATACACATCTTCCAAAGATTTGTAAAGGAACTGAAATAGCTGATAGAAGCTGTTAATGAATAAACCTTTCATATCAATGCCAAATAAAAACTATTTACATGATACAGGTATAAATAAAAATATCACTTCAGATGATACTAAATTTATGTCCATAACAAATTGATTCCATAGCTTGCCTGTTTATGATAGGATTTTTGGTTATTTTTAAAAGTGCTTGTTTAGGTTCCTGGTCTTCCCTGTTCTGTAGTATTTTCATTGATAAAATACAAAACACAGGAAATAATTATTTGAGAGTGCTATTAGGCAAAGAAGGTTGCTGAATGTGAAAGACACTAATGCAGCAGTACAGAGTATAAAAAAGAAGCACTGAGGAGCAGTCAGTATTTTAGAGGATTAAGTCCCTCTGCTAATCTGATTAAGTTGAAAGATTTTTCAGAAATATGTAGTTTCTTGAGACTGAGAAATCAGGATAGGCTAATGTGCCTCATTTCTATTCCCATGATCCTACCACACAGTTCAAAGGACTGACCTTTGTAGAAAATCAGCCCATTAATTGTCTCACGATATGTAGAAGAAGAGCATAATTATTTAACACCTTAAAATAATGGGGAAAGCAAGCATCTTAAAATATGAAATAAAATAAAATAAATCTCTATGACCTATAACCACTAAGAGGTAGCACAGAACCAGGAACCAAATGCACAAACTAAAGGGCTACAGCAGCTTGAAGGACACCAAGAAACTGCTCTGGAAGAACGGAAAGGAAATTAATGAGCCTCCAAAATATGAAGACTTCCATAAGCAAGACAGGGGTCTAAAAGCATAACAGCAACAAGGAAGTAGATAAATAATGTGAACAACAATAATGAAAAATTGCATGTATAAAACAATCAGAAATGTTACGTAGCGTAGTTGTAGCCAAATTCTTGCACATTTCTTTCTGTGCTTTTACAAAGGAAGAGGCAAACTCCATTGAACATACTGTGACAGTGCTCATTGGTTTCTCTCATCTCAGCAAAGACTTTGCCACAACCTCTGAGCATATTGACGTGAACATTAATGAAGTGGTGATGTAAAGTATGTTATAGATGAAAAGGCCCAATTTGGCAAAGGACCAAGAATGCTTAGGCACAGATACATCCCTTCTGACTGCACAGGTTGGGAACCTCCTCCTCATCCTTTTAATATATAATCAATGAAGAGACAGACACCTCCAGAAGGCAGTTCAGGCCTCTCTGGAGGGTGTTTTATCTCACCAAAGATCTGAATCAACCTCTAAAGTTTTCTGCATTTCTTAACTTGCTGTGAAGTGCAGGCATAAGGTGATTAACCTATTAACTTTGGGGTTCAGCTCTGTTTGGGCAAATACAAAGCCTAAGAAGTTGCAAAGCCTGATAAAATATGGTTCAGGTAAATGTGATTTAGTTCAAACGTTTAATTTGTAGATTAAAATGCTGTGTAAGATCAGCCAATTAATTTTAGTGATGGACTAAATCCTGAACGCTTTGCATTCTATAATGATTTTTTTCATGGCAAAAATAATTGTCCTGTAAATGCCCGGATTTATTTGCATTTTATTAGGAAATCCTTCCTAAATGCATATGCTGCATTTTGTGGTTAAGGGCGCGTTCTGCAATAAAAGTGGATTATTTAGGTTACTTCTGGGTTTGGGGGTTCCTCTGCCAAAGAGGAGGAACACTTAATGTGTCAAATGTTATATTGGGTTTACAACAGCCTTGATCCTTGTCCCCACATGTACTTCTGGGCAAAATTAATGAGACTTAAACACCCCCATTTCGATCAGTTCCCCGTTCATTTTGTTAAAGCATACAGTGGTTTGTGTCAGCTGAATGGTGCAATTCCGTGTCTCAGGAAGGAGGAGCTAGCCTCGTAGGCAAGTATAGAGAGTGCCCAGCAGGCTCCTGGGAGAGAAGGCACGTTCAGACACATGAACAAGTGTGTCCCATCTGACACATGTGCCATGAGTAGCAAAGGCAAGGAGAAATAGGCCATGCTTACAGCGAAATTCATTTTCCCCAACCCACCTATGTTTAATCTGAGGAAAATATATCTCCTTTGCTTTATGCAAAGCAAGTTCTTACACTGGCAACTGGTAGGGCACAATGGTGGCCTTAGGCTGATCTTGGTGGTGGTTTTTCTTCCTGCTTAGACCAGCTGGAAGATTCAGTGCATTTCCTCAGTATTCAGACATGACAATCCCTAGTAATTAGCTGTCCCAGAGCTAGATTATTAGTAAGCTATAAAAAAGTCTCTAATTTCCATCAACAAATACAGTTTCCAGTCATTATAGTCTGCAAGAATAGCGTCAATTTATTTGAGGTTTTCCTTTCCTAAGCATTGGTACGAAGAGTTATTCCCATATGAATTCAGAAGGATGATTAGAAAGAGACTTCTCAAGATGGCTTTAAAATGAAGCAGCCAGACATAAGAATGTAAATCATGTTCTATGGGAGGAAAAAAAAATAGATCAGGCTAAGAATGCAAATCATATTCAAGGAAAAAATTCAGATCAATATTAGAATCTGCCTTGTGTGACTGCAGTAGCATAAAATTATTTGCTGAGCTGCCTGTAAAAATGACAGTAGAGAGAAGAAAATGTTTTCAAGCAAAAGATGGCCTGCTGATAATTTGGCACAATTAAGCTAAATTGTTACCCAAAATGGGGGTAAAATATTATATGAAAGCAGATTCAGAATACTTGTGGAAAATGTCAAGTACCTTCTTATTTCATGGTTACAGTGAGGTGGGTTATGAGGTGTTGGAGAGGTGGGGAAAATTACTTCACTGGTATCAAGTTCTTGGCAATGGAAACCTGATTCTCAGATGTTCAATTAGGAAACAAGTCAGTGACCTCATATTTCCGAGGTAGTGTCTGTTTTCAAAGGAGGGATCCCAAACTTTGATAGATGTATTCTGGGGAAAGTTTATTTTGGAAAGATTTTCATTATGATTTTCAACACTGCCTAGAATTATAAAGTATTTTGTGGGAGGAACATTTAGAAGAAGAGATACTGAAATAAAAGCAAAACAAATAAGCTGGCTACTTGAATTTACTGACTGAAACAGAGTTGACTGATGTCAGGGTTCATGGAATTCTTCTCAGGCTGTAGTTTGTGCAGATCCTAGATGTTTTCCCAGACTTCAGAGGTAGAGAATCCTACAAGTCTGAGGCCCTTAGCTTTTCCTTGATCGTGATGTTATCTATTTTAGAATTCAATATCAGACACCAGATCATGGAAGTCCCAGTTCAAGATTTCAAGTTCAGGTTCTTTATTTTAGAGTCAGGTTCTGACCTCCTCTGGTTACTTGCACAACAGAATCTGTCTGGATAAGTAAGTCCACCTCATTCTGAAGCAAAACATGTGATGGTTCATTCTGAACTTGTAAGTTAGCTGTAATTGAGATCATGCTGTGAAACATTTACTGAATCAGTATCTTCTTAGCACCTTGTTACAAGTTTTTCTGAAAATTTGGCAACAAACAACAATAGGATCTGCTCAGTTCAGGTAGTTCTGAAAGTTGTAGGGTTTCAAATAGGAGAAATTTTTTAAATTTTCAACATACCTGTTTAAGATGTATTAGAAATGCTGTTTAAAATTAGAAGTGTGATGTGAATAGAGTTAAAGAAATAATTTGTTTAGTAATGCAAATGG